AGGACCATCTGAGAGACAAGACTCTACTGGTCCCTATGGTTCTTTGTGGCTGATGTCTTTAGCTTTAGCGGTCGCACCATACACTTAAATGCCTACTTTAGACACACATGACATTTATTGAACATTTCAGCTGCTGTTCTCATTCATATCACAAGTTCTCAAAGTGTGGCACCACTGTTGGAAACTGAAATTCTGAGTTACGTGTTATATATGAATAGATAGGTTCTTTATTGATCCCATAGGAGAAATCAAGGTGTCCAGTAGCAGCAGAAACACGTCAATCCAAACAAACAAAACAAATGTCTAGTTTCTTCCCCTTTGACCGGACTGGAAAAAATCCCTTGACAAAAATACGAAGAACACTTATGAGTTTAGTAAAATGCTGCTTAGAATATACACATGCTCTGCCAATTGATCAAGAAAGTTTGACTTGACAAGATATCTGAAAATAAGAAAATGATACTAACCCCAAATCTAGTTATAAACATACATTTCAAATTGCTTATTTCTTAAACATTTTCGAGAAATGTGTTCTTAAAATATAGCATAGTTGTTTGGAGATTTAAAATAAAACTTATAACAATCTTAAAAACTCACTGGTCAGATTTTTTTTCTCTGATAAGATTATGAAGTATCTTAAAACTAATCTTACATGACAAACTACATTCAAGCAAAAAAAAAAAATGAATATATGTTTAAAAAATAAGCCTAATTTACGTTATTTTTAGTAAATAAATCTTACCAAGAGTTTACTTTTTGCAGTGTAAATTCCTGGTTTATGACTTCCGGTTGCTCTTCAGCCTCAGACTATCACTGTCTTGGGGATAGACTCAAATTGGACCTTGAAAATGGAATCTTGATCCACTGCTAATCAGAATAATTATGCCCCATTTAAACGATGGTTTTGGGTGAGCTCTTTCCGGTTTAGTCATTACAAAGCAGTAACCCGGGATGCCTGCACGTACCAGTATCTGCTAACGACTTAACTTTTGACCAGACTGCTGCAGCTTAATCAGTGGGTGGCCTGACTAACATGTGCCCAAGGAAACTGCAACAACCACATCATTTGCACAGTAAACTAAACCACAGACGCACTCTCTCATTCACCACGCAGCAGGACTCCAGGGGGCGCTGTGAGGAGGAGGAGCTGCTGGGTGTGATTACCACGGTCTCAACGCTTGGATGCTGACTTGGCACTTTCAAAAATCGGTCGTGTGCAAGGGTATCATTGGTTTTTCATTCATTTCACTCGGGGATTTTGCTTGATTGGAATAAACACAGGGTTTGAGTTCCTGTTTCCTGGGTGTGTTTGCTTTGAAGAAACTGCTCCGTGGTGAAAACTATGACTTGAAGTGGCGTCGAAGTTGTCGAAGTTGGAATTCTCTACAATCATAACAGAATGGAGTCTAGAGATGTGTTTGCAGACTCTCAAAGAACTATAGTTACGACAGATGGCTTTACTGTTTGATTATCTGAGCTGGGCTGGCAAATCAACAACTTTGTGAAGTCCTCCAAAATAACTAGTGTTTGGATTTAGGGATATACAGAAATAAATGGAGTTGATGTGAACTTTATCAGGCCTCTGCTAATTGTCATTTTAAAGTCATTTGAGTAACCAGGGGGAGGAGGAACGACAGTAGCTCAGTTGGTAGAGCATACGCCTTTGAGCCAGAAGGTCGGGGGTTGGAGCCCACCTCAAGACCCTCACCATCGACTTCCACTGTCTGCTGTCGTTGTGTCCTTGGCAAGACACTTAACCTGTGGGAACACCTGCCACAGTGGGGCGGCTGCGGCTGTAAAGTGCCAAACTGCCGTTGTGTCCTTAGGCAAGACACTTCACCCCCATTGCCTAGAATGAGTCTGGTGTGAATGGTTGGTGGTGGTCAGAGGGGCCTGTGGCACAGACTGGTTGCCTCGCTTCTGTCAGTGTGCCCCAGGGCAGCTGTGGCTATAGTAGTAGTTTATCACCACCGTGTTTGGAGTGAAAGAATAATGACATGTGAAGCGTCTTTGAGTGTCCAGAAAAAGCTCTGTATAAAACTGATGCATTATTATTATTATTATTTAGGAGGAGTGCACTGTAGTTAATCCCTTAAAAAATAAGAAAAACATATACGAAAATAAGTAAAATACCGCTTAAATAATAAAAAATATCTGCCAATAGAACAAGAGAATATGACTTGACAAGATTTCTCTCAAGATTTCTATTCTCCCCAAATGACTTGATCGTTTTAAAACATACATTTCAAGTGTTATTCACTTAAAACTAGTCAAAATAATCTTACCTGACAAACTAAATTCAAGCAAAATAATACTTGCCATTAAAAGAATAAGCATATTGTATGTTTGTGTATAAACTCTCGGTCGTACAGGGATTAGTCAAAGCAAAGGAAGGTTTCTCATCATCTGTACTCTGCAGAGTACATGTTATTTTAGTAAATAAATCTTACCAATATTTTACTTTTTTCAGTGTATTAGAGTCGGGAGCAGTGGCCTGGGAACCTGTCAAACTTAACCACAATTAATCAGGGCTATCTTTGTATATACACTGAAACAAGTACAAGTTGGTAAGATTTTGTCCTAAAAATAACATAAATTATGCTTATTTTTTAAATGGCAAGTTTTTTGTTTGTTTTGCTTGAATGTAGTTTGCCATGTTATTTTACTAGTTTTAAGATACTGCATATTCTTATTGGAGAAAAAAGTCTGAGCAGTGAGTTTTTAAGCTGGTTTTTAAAAGTATTTTGTCTTTTTTCCAGACAACTTTTCTTGTTTGGATAAAAAAAGTTTGTTATACTAGATTTTGAGAAAGAGGTAAATAATAGTTTAAATGTGTGTTTTTAAACTAGAATCAAGTCATTTGGGGCCAGTATTATCTATTTTTCATAAATCTTGTGAAGTCATAAGTTCTTGTTCCATTGGCAGACCATTGTTTTTATTGTATTGTATTGTAATATTTTTCAAGGTTATTTTTTTACATTGATTTATACCTGCATATCTGTTTTAAAAGAAACTGGAATGAAAATCCACCCCATTCTCTGAGAAAAACATTCAATCTTCTTCCTGTAACACATGTGGTCCAAATGTGTTTTTGAGAATGACCACACTTTTGGAGCTAAAATTGTATTTATGTTATATCATTTATCAAAGTGTGCAAATATTTAGGCAGCTGCTTCCTAAAGTTGCAGCTCCACAAAATATTATATAAGAGGGTAAATGGGGTTCAGATTAGGCCTAAAACAGATACACAAATCTGATACAACAGCATGGCACAAAATCTACAGGTGTTACACAGCTATGAATGACAACATATTCATTCATTATCGATAATTTTACGTATCGATTTTAAAATTTTAGTTTTAACTTTCAGAGCCTTAAATGGTCAGGCTCCTTTTTACATCTCGGACCTCTTGACTCCATACTGTTCTGGCCGCACTCTTAGGTCCACAGGCCAGAATTTACTTGCAGTCCCAAAGACCCATAAGACCCGGGGGGACCGGTCCTTCCAGTCCGTGGCCTCCAGACTGTGGAACGCTTTGCCTCTGTCCCTCCGTGTGGTCAACTCTGCCGATGCTTTTAAAAAGGGACTAAAGACGCTTCTTATTAGGGCAGCTTTTTGTAAATTTCTTGTTTTTATCATATTTTCTATTTTTGTCTTATTTCTATTGTATATACTGTACATATACGCTTTTACCTTGAACAAGAACTTTGTGATTTTTATCTGTGAAAGGGGCTCTATAAATAAAATGTACTTTCAGTTGAAGTCGATTTGACGGCTTTTTGTTTTGAAAGTGTAATTACTCTGCCTATGTATGCTTTTGGTCTTCATAACCTCGTGAATTTTCTATACGTTGTTGATTTCTATGTAAATATGTTATATAAAGTTATGTTCATGATCGTATCTCAACCCTAGACTGGTCCTAGACTGGTTTAGCGCAATATCCGCTTGGAGAAAGTGCTAGTTACTATAGCAACACACTCTTTACTTGCAGCAGTAAGTATTTTGTTTTGTTGTGTTTGAGTTATTTTATCCAGTTTTAGCGTGTATTAAAGATACAAAATGCAAGTATAGGGGGAAACTAAAACTGTTTTTCTTCTAATGGGAACCGTCAAAATGACTGCTCTGGAAGTTTTAGTAGTTTCAGAATTATGGGAGTTTATGGGTTTGGGTGTTAGGGTTTAAGAGAGGATTTTCTACTTCCGGGTGGATCATCAAGACTATTGGTCGTCCCAATTGTCAATCATTCCGGTGATACGTGCTCGAAAACCAGAGAGTTGTGTTCAAAAAGTGGAGAGGGCGGTTCTTGCCTAAAATGTGGGGAAATCCTCCTATCTATGATTTGACCACAATCTGTTTGAGGCCTCTCTTTGTTTTGGAAACATGGTAAAAGTTTACAGGGGAAGGACCTGTGAGTCTAAACTTATCTCTCACACATTTCCAGCCCGCAGCGGAACTATACAGCCCACTTTCATTTCTTCCACGAACGCCCTCGAAAGTGCTGAGTGGACGTGGACAGCTGTTGAGAACACAGATTGCTCCACTTTGGCAGTTACATTTACGACGGTCCGTGAACTCAGCCGTGCGCCAGTCAGGAGGAGGCGTGACGTCATGGCACGGTGCCACAGTCCTGCTCCGCGGAGAGAAGTTTGTGAAGCGTCGCCCAAAACACTTTTACGCACCGCTCTGGAGGGCTTCTGCGACACGTTCCCCTCAGAGCAACACGTCTTTTTAACTTTTATTTCTCAGTAGAGCGTCTTTATCAGTTCGCACAGTAATTTGCTTGATTCTATAGATCGACCTACCCGTCCATTCTCGTCATCCACTCGGCATTCGCCTTTATGTGCGCTTGTTACCGGTGCGTAATCGCCATGACTTTTTACAGCCAACTTGACTAGGGCTGTGTGCGCTACTGCCCGTGCGTAATAGTTATGGCTTTGTAGCGTCTGTCGTGTGCTCTCTTCCCTTTGGCAACGGGTCGCATGAAGTCTCGTATGATCCGATGCGCTGTAGCGGAGAGAGCTCAGGGGCAGAGCCGGGCTTCACCATGAGGATGCCCAGGGGAGGACTGCTGTTCCTGGCCACGCTCCTCGGTTCGCTCTTTCTGCTCGTCATCTACTTCCAGAACGTCACCAAAGCAGGTAAGTCTTTTGTGCTTGTGCTGTCTGAAGTAATGTTGGCTGTGAGCTGGAGGCAGGACTGCTGGGTATCTGAGGCATTCTTTTCCATTAATAAATGTTTAGTTCTTCTGGAGTCTTGGGTGAAGTCAAAGTGATTCTATCTGTGCCAAATGTGACATGTACATTTCTCCAGTGTGCGATCAATAAATTAAATCTTATCTTAAATGTGACCAAATCAGACCACAGCATTATAAAAGCTTTAAGAAAGAGCCCTGTGAGTCAGTATTTGACCATTTGGGCTTAGCTGATTGGCTGATGGGTGTTTCTCTATCACCTTTCTGTCTGAGATGTGACAAGCAAAAAAAAAAAACAAAAAACATGCATATGAAAGAAGAAAGCCACCAATTGGGGAACCAGTACAGAGCTAACTTTTTTGGGGTCTTAGAATTAGGTACCCCGGCTTTAAATACTGTAATTTTTAGATCCATCGTAGCCTACACTGGCATTGGCAGTAAACAAGTTGAACCATTGCTTTTTCTTTTTTTTTTAAACATAACACAGTAGTCCACCACTTCCCCATCTGGGATCTTGTTCGTTCAGAGTTAAGTATAAAAGGAAATCCATTTATGAAACGAGTGCAGATGATACTTTCAGAAACTGTATAGATATTATCTCATTATACACTGGAGGCTGTTCTTTTGAAGAAGAAAAAACAGTCTAAGATCTTAAGGTTTGTGGTCGTCAGGGGTACACGCCAACCACTTGACACTAAAGAACTTACCAGAGAAATGTGTTTAGTTTGGAACATAAAAATAAGGGTTTAGAGTGTTTTTATTTTATTATTAATTAAATAACAGTAATCGTTTAGATCAGAGTGTCACATATCTCCAAAACAACCCAATTGCACCGTTATGTGACTTAATTCGACAGAGATGATTGTTTATCTGCCTGAGAATAATACCTATTACAACTTCTTCTGTATTTTTTGTGTCAGAGCTGAGGTCGAACTCGAGATAGAACATTTAAAAAATTAGGTCAGTCAGCATATGTTTACTCTCACCTCACCATCTTTGCTCAACAAATAATACCACCTTAAATCGCTCTTTCAGCTGTTGTACATTAGCATTGTGTTGAAGTTGCAGTCATTTCTATAGCTGCACACCATAACGCTCCGACACATGCTGGGCGTTTAAAAAAAAAAAAAAAAGCCTCTAAAGACACATTTTCCACTGTGGCTAACACAAACAATTAGCTTAGTTTAATGAGCGTGCAGCGTGTGGGCCCTAAACCTATGACCGAACCAGACGGCTTGTTATAGCTGCGATGACCTGGACACCTGTACGGCTCTCTGCCCTCTGTGTAACTGCTGAAACATAATGAAAAGTGAATGAAATGAAGTATGAATGCTCGCACTGTGGCCTGGAATGTTTTCAGAACCCCCCCCCCCCCTCCCGCTCTCCCCCTCCTCTCCTATATAGACCCCCTGCATTCCTTTGGGTTCCCACTCTTCACCCCCTCCGCTCGGCCGCTCTCCCCTGTCCCTTTGTTGGTGGACGCTGAAAGACAGATCGGCCCCCGGAGAGAAGCCAATTCAGGCGGGAGTGCGTGAGGGGGGGGGGATCGATTATCACCTATTGGGAATGCAAACAGGCTGTAGTGTATAATGTAATGAGGTTTCAATGGTGCTGACTCCATGACAGTATTAGGTTGTGGTTGTAGGTAGGTGCCGGTCACGTGAAGAGTTTGTGCAAAATGTGCTGGTTGTAGTTTGGCGGCGAATGCGATAGTAAAGTAATCCGTTCTGGTTCGGCGCCAATTACAGTATCAAGAAATTGAAGCCGGAGCAAGAAGAATGTTTAGTAAATGTCATTGCTGCAAAGATGTTGTGGCTCTACTCCACACGGGCTCCGTTAGTGGCAAAGGAGATGGCTAACGCTAGGCTAAATGCTAAAACTAGGATAAATGTTCAATGCCTCACTCACTCGGGTGCGTTACGTACGTCGCAATAAACTCAAATCCAATCGTTTCAATCTGCAAAAGGAGTTAACCCCTTCTACCTGTTAACGGAGGTGAATGAAGCAAATCCAGACCTTAGTACGAAATGAAATTAGTACGATGGTATGGCAAGACCAGGCTATGAGTGTATAGGTTTGTCATTCAAATTATGGCATGAAATTAACTGTGCCTTAATACAATAATATAAAAGAACCTCTATTCGTCCCACAGAGGCGAAAGTTTGATGTTTCAGAAAAAATATACAAAATATACTATACAAGTAGCTATAATACTTTAAATCATATACATAGACATACATATAGACCTGCCCATGTTTATACCCGCCCCCACTACCTGCATGGACATCGTGGATTTAAATACTCGATAAGAATAATTGAAATGGTGCTGTATCATTGGTTTAACTATTCTTTCTCCGCAAACAAATCTCATATCGACAGGCGTTGGATATTGTAAGCATAGCGTTAAAAAAAGTACCTAAAGGAATCACTATAATCATTCCTTTCTGTGTGGGGATTGCATGTCTATCCTTGTGTCTGGGTTCCCTCCCTCACCACCCAAAACATGCATCATTCGTAAAATCCTCCAGCTACATTAGTATTGACCAAAACGAGCAACCACATGTGAAGAGTTGTCCCCGGGCACTGCACTGCGGCGACCAATGCAGCTGACAGGTCGGGCTTGAGGCAAAAGCCGAGAACACATTTTCTGTATGGGGACAATACAAATACCAAAACCTTTTCACAGTTGTTTTATTAGTATTAGAGTAGTCATACAAATGGGCTTCTTAATCTCTCTACCCAAGGTGTCTCCAACCTTTTTCACCCAGAGAGCTACTTTCCTGTGACAATAAAGGCAGAGAGCTACTCCTTTAAACGGCAATTTTTGGTGATATATTCATGTGAACAACTGTGGTATTCGTAAGTCAGTATTTATCATCACATATTTGTTAATTGTGACAAAGTAAGTGCATTTACAATAATAAATAATGATAATGAATAATACAATCTGAAATATGTAAGTGTATTATTTGATTTGTTACTTTCTAAATCCTTTGGCAAGCTACCTAGAAGGAGGTGGTGAGCTACTGGTGGCTCCCGAGCTACAGGTTGTGTGCAGAAAAGTCTATAAAAAGTATGTAGAAAATGAACCTAATTCCCAAATCTTAATCAAACTCACTGCCCTGACCCTTCTGCCGTTGTCCCACATAAAGTCTTTTCATTTATATGTGACAAAAATGACTCCGGTGTGTGGTTTTAAAGCATAGAGGGCTTTATCGAAATCATGTAGACTTTGACAGAGATGGGGTGTCTCTGGAGGCCTGATGAGGAAGGTTAGTATTTGCAAAGACACCCTTATGCAAGATTGAAACAACAAAGGGATGCATTCGAGCCCACCACGAGACCTTCTCTACCGACTCCCACCGACCGGGGCTGTTGTGGTGTCCTTGGGCAAGACACTTAACCCCACTTTGCTAGAAGCCCCCGCTGAAAGATCAAGGCTGTTACTGACAGAGCAGGATTCTGTGGACTCATCACCTGCAGGAGGATCCGTGAGGGGCTGGTGCTTTGTGAAATGGGTGCTCTGACTGCCATCCCCCCGACTCAGAAACAGAGAAAAGGGGAAAAGATGGATGGATGGATGGATTGCTTGCTTGAATTAAAGCACTCAGTCTCTCTCAAAACAGTTTGGGGGTAATTGTCTCGTTGATGGCTGTACGTTTGTCATCTGTCACATCATCATCAGATCAGCTTTTTCAGTGAAAGAGAGAGGCCCAGACCTCACTCCGCCAATCAGCTCTCAGTATGTATAAGATAAAATGTTCTGGTCTGATTTTTTTATCACAAAATCTTACTTAAACAAGACACTTGGGACAAAAAAAATGTCAGGTACTCCTTAAGCAATGCATTATAACCACTAGATTGTACAAGAACTAAACCCCCATCCATAACTTTGGTGCAGTGGAGTTTGATTCTTCTTAAAACAACTTCTGCCAAAGTCACATCATCACATTCAACAGTTGCACAACAACCAAAACCACTCTTTTCCACAAACGCACTGTGAGTTCCACCCAAGACAGTAGAATTTACGACTCCTGCGACACCTCCTATGCACAACCAATGGAAAATGGTTACTGTAAATCTGGTTCCGACCGTCTCCCTGCCTCTCCACATGCTCTGCACACACTTCGCTCCGCTGACCCTCACTCCACCCTGCAGTTTGATAGTTGTAGCCTCCTGCTGCCTGTCTTGTCTTGCCTGTTGGTCTGTGTTCCTGCAGCTTCACCCGCAGCAGCCAGCAGGCCACATGAAAAGCACCAATGCCACATTAAAGAAAGCTAATTCACAGGATGTCATCAAAGCACAGGGCGCATATAATTATAAAGCAGATGATCATTGGGGCATCTTAAAATCATGTGTGTGTGTGTGTTTATCGGATTATATTATCATCTGAGAACTACTGTAAATTGGTGTTGCTGCTCGGTCTTTCTTACCCGAAAAGCCACAATCGTAATGTGGATGTTGTTGATACTTAAAGGGGACACAGTCTGATTCTGTTCTGGGTTGTGATAATCTATGACCCCAGTGACTCTTGTCTTAAATGTACAGTTCATATGAAATGTTTAGATTGAGCTAAAACAATTTCAATCTGGAGAGACTTGAGATGAAAAAGGCATAGATTACATTAGAATACATACGACTTGTCAAGATGAATGAATAAACACCAGCAGACTTAGATTGAGCACTAATATATTTATTGTTAAGATTGGAGATTAGACCCCGGCAGGAACACTGCACGATGTATGCAGAAGGGAGATTAATAGAGATTATGCACTTGCGAACTTCCCTGGGGCCTAGAACCTGGTGGCGAAGAAGCTGAGCCAAAGACATGCCATGATACTCTACTGAAGAGGTGGTGACGGGGAGGAGGGGGGTTGCTGCTCGAACAGCCGCTTGAACTGCAGAGAACCGCGAGGCTCTGTTGAAATGCAGCCATAAGTGATGAGC